ATCAAAAAACGAGTAACTGCCGACCTCCCATCGGTCGGCATTCTCCCACACTTGATCCCTTCACCCCTCTGTGGGCTCCTAGAGACCGAGAAACTGGCCTGCTTTTATACGAATGCTCAGGGTCTTTTTAATAAAATGGCCGAACTGAAAGATCGCCAATCTTCCGGGTCATATGATGTCATTGGTATCACCGAGACATGATTGCACACAGGAATGACGGACGCTGAAGTTTCGCTACCGGGCATGTCGCTGATTCGGAACGACAGACTCACAAAAGGAGGAGGAATAATCCTGTATTACCGAAACGACCTACAGTGTGAAGCCGTGGAGGATCCAGACTCGCAGTTTCCCGAATCTCTTTGGTGCCGCCTGTAGTTAAAAGGTAGAGACGCTTGCCCTATTGTCTTGTATCGCCCCCTAACTACACTCGAAACGGACTGTCACCTTGCGGCTGCTTTAAGATGCAGTTTACAGTTAATGTACTTATCATGGGTGATTTCAACGTACATTATGCAGAAACCCCTGCCAAGCTCGGAGAACGATTCAAAGTCGAGCTACGAGATCTTATAACAACTGTTCCTATTAATAATCACATCACTTTGCCCACTCGGTTCGGAACAAATAACAGGCCATGTGCGATGGATCTTGTACTTATCAACGAGGAGCATATGATTGATGTGTTGGTTGTAGACTGCCTTTTGGGTCGCAGTGATCACGCAGTGATCAGTTTCAACTTCATCTGTCATGCGGAATATCGGAATGAGAATGATGAGACTGTGCGAACCATCACAAGCTACGGTCAATTAGTTCAGCTCGTCAGTGATATAACATGGTCGTTCCTTGCCGAAGAACCCCCGGAAGTCGCCTGGCTCGAAAACGTCAACAAATTCTGTCAGCTGATTGCAGAAGCTTCAGAGATGAGCTTGCAATAAGTGTAAATCAGTTTCTAATGTTAGGAACAAAACTCGAAAATGGATGACAGTACGCAACGCAGCATGGCGAGTGTACATAGAAGCACCAGCACCAGAAACTTGGGTCAACTGGGTAGCCCAACGTAACCGCTGCATTAAAATGATAAGAGAAGACAAAGCCGCATATCAGCATAACATCACAAAAACCTTCAGTGCTAACCACAAACTACCGTACAAGCACGTCAATAGTCTACGAAAGATGAGACAAAGATTTCCTACACTCAGGACGGCCAATGGCCCAACAAGAACGACTGTGGAAACAGCAAACGCGCTGCAGACGCAATATGCTCCCACGTTTTAGGGGGTCATGCCAACAAGCGATCTGCCAACCTTTGCCGTCTCTTAGCCAGGATTAATCCATATCATTTTTACCGCGGAGGCTTTATTGCAAAAGCTGACATCTCTACGCAAACACAGCTTGCCGGGTATCGAAATCATTTGTCCAGAAGCACTGGAAGCAGCAGCAAGCCAACTGGCAAAACCTTTGGCTCAGTTTTCCAGCGTAATTTAGACCAGAACCAAGTTCCCGCTATGTGGAAGCTTGGAATAATAACCCCGATTTACAAAGGTGGAAGCAGAACTGATCTCTTCAACTACCGCCCAGTATCCCTTCTTCCTATACGCCCCAAGATCATGGGATCCATAGTTGCTGATGCACTGGTATGTTATCTGAAAAACTGTAACATCATCACGTCTGAGCAGCACGGCTTCCGTCGACGGCGGTCATGCACAACGAATTTACTAATCGCACGCGGTAGTTGGACCGAGCCAGCTGACGCTGGAGAAGGCGTTGGTGCCGTCTACCTAGAATTTTCGAAGGATTTCGATCGTCTAGACCATCGGATACTACGTTCCAAGCTTCAGCGTTACGGGATCGGTTACCCTATTCTAAGCTGGATTGCCAACTTTCTACTTCAACGGCAATTAGTGGTCAGAGTTCGGAGCTCTTTATCGGACCCCATACAAGTCGAGTGTGGTGTGTTTCAAGGCTCAATACTAGGTCCACGTCTGTTTTTGGTGTTTATTAATGACCTCGCACAGGGAATCGCTTCAAACGTCTTGGTGTTTGCCGACGATATCAAGATTTTGGCGCAGGATCCAGGTGAACGCCGACCAGCATCTGCTTCAGAGTGACCTAGCTACGGTATATCAATGGTCAGCCCAAAATTTACTGCATTTCAACGTGAGTAAATGCAAGGTACTTTCCATCCGACATCAGAGCAGATACTCATACCGGCTCGGAACGAATGTACTGCAACAATCAACTGTCGAACGTGACTTGGGTGTCCTGGTTCAAGATGACATGGGTTCCTCCAGGCAATCCAAAAAAGGCCCGAAGACTGGGAACCAACACGTCGGGCTGTTGCGACGGGCGTTTGGACAAATAAACAGCTCCATATTTCGACAAATGCTCAGGGCGTATGTTCGCCCTCATGTCGAGTACGCAATTCAAGCCTGACATCCATGGATGAAACCCGACCTTAATGCACTGGAGCAGCCATAACGTCGGGCATCTAAGATTGTAATTGGAATGCGCAATCTTTCATACAAGCAAAGGCTGCAACGACTGTGGGTATACAGCGGAAACTATCGCAGACTACGAGGCGATTTGATTATGGTGTACTTGATTTGCGAGACCCATATCGTGTGTGCCGCCCTTTACTGCGACTCAGCAACAGTACAACCCTGAGGGGCCACTCATTGAAACTCGCAGAACCTTATAGCCGTCTGGAGTTCCGCGGAAAATTTTTCCATTCGTGTCTGTCAGCCGTGGAAAACTCCCAGAATCGGTTATCTCTGCACCGACACTAACAGCATCTAAAAGACGATTGGATGACACACTCATCCACTTACACTTTGTCACTTAGCGCTGTCTCCATCCTACACCTGGAGTTTACCATAGATATATTTGATATTAACTGAGGGTACTGTGAATCTAAACGGATTACAGGACTACAGCGAACGACTACAGCAAATGATAAGTCCTTATTTTCATATTTAAAGCACTAACTGTTTTACTGTTATTATTATTACTATTATTATCATTTCGATATCCCCACCAACTATCTAACGGGACTTGCAAAGCAACGCTTCTTAACCCGTATAAATTCATTGTTCATTGTCTGTCAGCGCCAGTTGAGTTTCTGATGTGATCGTCAACTACGAAGACAGTAAAAGGCCATTTTGTTGCAGATATTCCCAAGCGACGGAGCATCAACATCCGAACCAGAGTTCACATAATTCAGCGCTCTTCTCTGACTTAGTGCATTGAGTTGGCGGATGAGGAGTTGATGGTTTAACAGCTTTTTGTCTTACATGCTGCTATCGGATCCAACGGTTCATAGAATAAACTGTACCGTATGCAACGGGCTTTGATGAATCCAGCTACTTTTTCTCCCTTGTTCTTATTATCTTGTTCTCCAGATTAAACTGAGAGTTCACAGCGATCATATCAGTGAATTGCCAGATTATGCTAGAGTGACGCTATAAAAGACCTTATTCTTGTCTGGCCCACGAAACATGTCTCACAACTATGCAAAATATTTTGTAGACGACATGTTATTCTTATTTGCGCAGCTTGTCCCTAACTTTAAGGAAATTGTTCCGGGTCGTGAGAGACTTTGGTCCCGAGAAGCAATACAAGTCCAGCCATGATCTCAGAGATACCAGAGTGAATAAGAATAATTGTCTTCGTATCCGTCGCCACTGTTGATCTGAGTGACGGTCGTCTTTCTGACGCCAACTTCCATAAATAAAACTTCTGGGGTATGGTTTTCGCTTAGTAATACTGAACAGTTGATAGACCTCTGCCTTACCAAGTTATGATGTGCTGCAGCGATCAATCGCTTGACACAATCCCCCAAAGTGGTGTGTTAACGAGGAAGACTCAAGATAAAGTGTGACCTCTGACTGTAAATACAGGTGAAACAGAAACAATGCTAAGTCACTTCCTTGGAAGTTGCACTGATAATGCTGCCTAGCTTCGGAACAAAACGTCCTCAGCAAAGGTCAGATAACAACGTATCATCTTCATTCATGTTCTGAGCTACCAGCCTTCTCAATGATCGCCCCCTCGTCAAACATCTCCAATTCATCGTCAACAACAACAAAAGTGATAGTGGTCCCACAAAAATACGGTACCTCGAAGGTGGGAAGTGCATGCTAAATAATGTGATCAATACAGAGTTCGTCGAGAGCCAAGCGTGCCATTTCGCAGCGGCCGAACATCACGATGATGTAGCTTACATCGTCTGGATGAATAAACCGCCGTTGGATCGAGAACAGTTCCAAAATCGTGAGACCACAAAAAGGGACAACGCCATGCTGGAGAATAAAATGAATAGAAATAGGGAAATAGGACAACCCGACGAATGCCACTTGTCGTCAGATAGATGTCTGGCAATTCGCGATTTGTGTCCGAGTATGGAGCACGAGATGTTTTCACGGCGTTTGGGTCCAGTCCAAATTAGATGATTAATTACTACTGAGGTGAGTGGTATAATCGTGTGCACTGTAACGGGGATGGGTGGTGGTGAGAGTGGGGAATGGCTCATATCACTTTCTTTCAAAGGCCGTACGGTACACAATGAAGCAAACCCGAATCCCAAATCGGGGCACTACGATGTGCCGCCATGTTAGACTGAGTGCCGAAACTAGTACCTTGAAACCATACAAGCAATTTCTACCATTTGCGTTTTACTAGTTGGACGGCAGATGCCGTTGAAGGCCAACCGTTGACAGCAACTACAAGACACTGGTACAGCATGGGAATGAGAACACATTCCTCAAAGAAGAATATTACTAAGGAATATAAATCGAAGTGGCTTAGATGAACGACGCTGCCCAGCAAGTCACAGTTGCCTTCTAAGCGCATAAATAATATGGATCATAAAGAGATTAAAGCCGATGTTCATTCCGTGGCGAGATCACCCTCCAGCATTGACCACCGATACAGTGCACTCGGTGCAGATGTAGGAACTAATAGACACACACCAAAAGGAAATATATTCCAATAAATATGTTTCTTACTTCTATGATCGCCTGGGTATCAAACAGCCACTTCAGATGGGAAGCGGTGGACAGGATCAGCTCGGCCAAGACTTGGGCTTTTTCGCAGGCATCTCCACTCAGTTCATCCGTTAAGAGTACTGGTGTGAGAAGTCTTTACGTAGGTAATCGAAAACACAACGAAGATGCTGAGTGTCATATCTGCAGCTATTGCATAATCAAAGTAAAATAACAAAAGATGAACGGAATCTCGTTGCCTTTAACCGGGCCATGGCGTGCGATGAAGCTCGTTACGAGAGAACCCACTCAAGGCGACAACATTCAGAGGGAACCGCTAGTGTAATATGGCGTTAACCAAACATTTGATGCACATTGATTTCCGATGGTAGCCACTTAGAGTAGCTAGAATTCCATTTTTGTTTGACAGAACTACGACGTGAATAACCTATGGGTTAAGAAAGCGGTGATAGCCAGGTAAAATACAGAGGTGATCCAATCAAACAAACTCACACATCGTTTAGGGTCGCATCATTGACACTGTTAACTATAGTGCGCAGGGCAACCATACTGTTTCCGATGATCCAATTGTCCGCTCGATGCTTTCTCTCGACTGAGTTCTCCGATTTGCACCCCGTGTCCAGAAAAGATCGAATGGTTACGGGAATCTAAAATGGATGGCAAAAACGTGCAGCTATCTAGCTCGATTTCTGGTTGGAAGGGTTAGTGGTGACCAGTGCTGCTCATCGTGTGTCGTGGTCAGACCGTATTTTGGATTGTAACATACATATCACAACTTTGGCAGAAGCAGCGCGTCGACGAACTGAAGTAAGTACATCTTTTACCAGCTATCCGTGCATCACAAAAAGGTTCAAGTCAATCTCATTTCATGGTTCGTTCGGGCTCTTCCTGGAAGTTAAAAAGACAAGCAACGAATGGTTACCTCCGCGATTTAGCTCGAAATAAAATCGAGATTGCCGAATCTAAACGGTTCATCTCGGAAACAGTTTCCTTCAATTTACATGGAAACTAAGTGTGATCATGGCTGCGAGTGCACGTTGTTAAGATAGCACAGCGAATAGTGTAGTTCGGCCTGAAATGCGCCATTAGAAAAACGGTGAAACAATGCAACAGAGTCGAAGACCAGCTATATAGGTTAACAAAATCAATCCGCTAAAGGGATGCAGTCAGCTCTGCAAAGGAAACCTTGGGTATGGGTGTCCTGAAAACCTGGACAAGAAGAATCGATACCCTACTCCAACAACGACTTGAATTTGAGCATACGTGTCACAGAAGAAATGTGGTCCCATGCTAGAATCAAAAAGTTACCGTTACGAAATTGCCGATGCGAAGGTCAGCATATTTTGCTCGGCAGAAAATAACAGTCCGAGCCAAAAAGCGAAACTGGCGTTATCAGTGTACAGCCGTACACTCTAGGATGCCCATGCCCTATCTTTACAACCAGATTCTTTAACCTGATCATATACTGTCTGAGGGAAGGTAAGGTCTCCTGGAAGAACCGCTATTTCTTCCCGAAAACGGTCTGGATATGGAATCAAAAGGAATTTCAGGAATTCACGTGACACCATCTGCCTGCATAGTGTGTGCATCAGATGAGCACCTCAGCTAACTGTGTTTGAGGTCTAAGGCTCGCTGGATGACTCATAAATGCCACTAATGTCTCAATCCATTTGTGCAGGGTACCAAACGCTTGTCACCAATTCTCTGTACATTTTTTGTTAAAGCAGGTAGTTCTTCACAAATATGTCTATGCACATCAGTTATTGTAAATGGTCCTGAGGAGACAATATGAAATGCATGCATCTACCAGTTTTCATCTTCTTTACGTGCTTTTCATAAACTGCGGATTGTGGCTGAGACTAGACTTTTATTGGAAACAACACTGTTTTAAGCGGAAACATGTAGACGTTGAATTTTCTGATACAATAGCTTCCAAACCATGCAGGCTGTGCAACATCCTTTAACTTATACTGTCACCAATGGGTTGGTCGTTATCGACGTTTGGATTTCGCGTAAATAAGACGAATACATGAACTGCTGATTTGATTAACCAGTGTAATGCCTCTAAATATTCAATCGTCATTAATGAATTGCCTCAGCTGTCAACAACAGCTTTAACCAGCACGACGATAAGTCATTCAATATCGTTCTGTCATTTGGCACGCTACCTTGTCAACGAAATTTGATGAAACTGTGTTCTGAGACGTTCGGAAACGATCGGTCGGTGCGAACCCGTCAAACATCCCAGCAAAAACGCGCCAGAAACTCCAGCATAGTGGCTGTGGAACGCGGGGTCCAATTCCTCCACACAACGCAGCAGCGTTCAGCCACTCCGAGAAGCGGTCCAACTGCGCACATGTTGACAATGCTCTCTTACAAACTACCACCCCGTCGTAGTAGCTATTTTCCCTAACTTAATGACAAATAGCATTGGCTGTGATTTGCCCTTTGTTGGTCGTAAAATAGCCTTCAGAGGACAACCTGTCTTGCTTCTTCGCCTTAGTTGGAAATCGGCCGGTCACGTGATTTTGTGTGTGTCGTTAGCCGGGCAGCGTTCGCGTCTAAGTCACTAGTGCGTGTCTACCGTAACCCCCTCGTTTGCGTCCGTTACGAGCGCACGGCGTTCATCCGAATATGTGCGGCAAGGATCGTTCTCACGCTCGCTCCATTCCCGTCTCACCAGCGCGTACCCCGGGCTAAGCTAACGCCATCAGGTCAGCGCAAAACCGTTAAATTAACCACCGTTTCAAGCCGTTACCGTAGGCGTGCTCCAACCGTGCCAGTGACAATCTTATCAGGCGTTCCCTCAAGCATATCAGTATCATTTCGCTTTTCATACAAAGCCGGATTCAGTTGGAAAGTGCACACCGATACATATCCTCAGCAAAAAGCTCGTACCTGCCGATGCGAAGATCTGTAAGGGTAACGTTTGATCCATTCCCATCGTGGCCGAACCAAAGTGAGATTCCGACCGGTGACTAATACTTCCTTGATTCATGTCCCTATTATCGCGAATATTGCCCCCCCCCTCGTTCGATGTAAAATGCTGCTCCAATTGCACCTGACCTGAGAAAGCTTATGTCAAAACGTCCCCAAAACCGTCTGAATTTATGACCTCTCAATCGGTCCTCAGCATAGCTCACGAGTTCGATGATAATCTGTTGTGATCGTTTGCGTACTTGTTATCTAATGAATAACACTAGGTGGATGTCTCCTAGCGCTTGAGGGTTACGCAAGCTGAAAGGGTTTATTAGAGAAGTCAAAGAAACTGAATTCGAACGTCCTCAGAGATTGGGGTGAAATCGATGGACTTTTGCTCTAAAAACCATCATGAGAGAAGATAGCGAAGATCAAGTCCTTAACCACTCAGACTGAGGGACACCGCATATCGTTGGCGACATCCGGTTTCGGATTTGCCTGTCACTGTGGCCAGCAACAGGACGCCTGCGCCTACAAAGTGACCATGCGTGGTTTGCGCTGCACCACCCACAGCTCCAACCACACACCCCATATCTAGTGTAAACCCGAAGGAACAAGAGCGGGAGGCATGTGGATGGGAGCCAGGTTTCATCAACGGAGCCGGCCCACACTCCTTCACAAGCAAACACATGCACGCTGTAATTGGGGAATCAAGCGCACACAAGGCGGTGGCTAGACCGTAGTCCGCTCCACTCACAAGTCGTGTGCATGGAACCACTCTTCGAGCCTAGCATGGTCACAAGGATCGTGCACCCCGTCCCCTCCCACAACGACAATCTGTCTCCTGGATCCAGTGCGGACAAGGTAGTGGGTAATAGACAGGTAGGCACCTTGCCAACATACACATCAAGCGCAGCCACACCGGGGATATCATGCAACAGCCAATCATATGAAACGACGATATCAAATAAACTAAATCGAATAATGCATACAGATACGGAGAAATAACTCTTCACTAAATGTGCGTATGAAATAAACTGAATGCAAAAAATTCGCGATAAGTTAAGGACGTCAGAAAAAATATTTTAAGAAAATGCCACAACCATGAAAATGTTATTGAAGTTAACTACAATTAGCTTAAGCAAGGTGTGCAAGTTTATAGAAGATAGTTCAGGTAGACATTAATACGAGATAAAAAAGCATTAGGACAATATAGCAAACCCACCACCTGAAATAAAGAGACTCAGCATACAAGCACACGGTTAGTAAATCGAATGCAGCGTACCTACAAACGCCTCGCCGGTTCTGCCTAAGTTCTCAATAAGACACGTCGTCGTTTCGATGCTGCTCTCGCGTGGTCTCGCTCATGGCTCACTAAGCCTGCCTGACTCAGGCACTCGCGACCGCGTGTGCTACAGCGCCATGCGCTCGTTGTCGATGGAGTGCAACCCATCGGCGCTCATCGTTTCCGCAATTTCCGCTTCCTCTCTGCATGCAGGAGGGCTTTCTCTTGCACCTCGGCAACGGCCTTCGTGATCACCTCGCGCCGTGCACGCCAATCAACCGCTTTCGATTCCCTTGACCTGCAATCAAGTTTAGAACTGAGAGGCTTAGTTTGATCATGTCCTGATAACGTGACTTCGGTTTCCCCACATGCCGCTTCCCCAAACTCAGTTGGCCACATTATAGTTGTTTCGGTATCCGCGTCGAATTCATACGGCTCACATGACCGAGCCACCTCAGGTGTCTCAGCAATAGTATGCACTTTACTGCATACATTCCACTTCGGCGCAACACTTACGTGTCAGCAACTCTGTTGCACCAACCGATGCGCAGAATCCGTCGCAAACAATGTTGTTGCAACCGCTCGGGATATCTCACATCTCGCCGGTACATCGTCCACGCTTCGCTGCCGTATAGAAGAACGGATAGCACCATGGATTTGTGCACCATCAGCTTCGTACCATCTGTAAGCTAATGGTTGTTCCACACTCGGTACTCTAGCTTCCCGAATGCCGCCGCTGCATTCGATACGCGGATACGAAGCTCACTGTGTAGCTACTGGTCAGTGGACACCACACTCCCAAGGTAGCTGAAGCGGGAGGTGGTTTCTACTATTTCAGCACCAATGCTGAGTAGTGGCAATATTGAAGATTGCACCTCCGGTAAAGGCTGAAAGAGACAGACAGTTTCGCTTGCTGATGGTGGGCCCGAATTTGGCCGCCGTCGAAGCCAGAGCACATACATGGATGTAAACACCACTCTATCGCCTCGCAAATGAAGGTGGCCGAGAATCTTCTGTCAGTTGTTGATTAATCCGTGTTCCGTTCACACGTGTTTTTCTACGCTAGGACTAAGGGCGTTTTAGAGCATAAGCTCTCGAACGCTTACTTTCCGAGACTAAGACGTAACATAAACCCAAATGGACTGTACAAAAACACGATTGTTTCGAACTGCCACTGAGGGCGGGAGAGCAATTACTGTCTACTTGATTACCACCGTCCACTTTAAACCAGACAGCCCTGGCCGTGGACGAAAATTATTACATTTTCCGAATCACTAAATGGTTCATTTGATCACCCTCAACTAGATCGCCGTAAAGCTCTGCATTCATGCCCCGGGGATGGACATGGTCCCCGATACTTATTGGATCAAAATGCTGTCTAACAATCTGTTGGGATACCTTACGCAGACCTCCGGTCAGTTGGAATAATGAGTTGAATCACTG